AATACTGAATCTGATTCCATCCTAAAATGGCATAAAAGACTTACACATGTTGGTGAAAAATGCCTCACAATCCTATATAAAAGGGAGGCATTTGGTTAGGACCAAATATCAAAAATTCCCTTATGTGAAAACTGTACTTTTGGTAAACATCACAGGCTCCACTTTGATTTTGGAAAGCATAAAACTACCTCCCTATTGGAATATGTCCACTCTGATTTGTGGGGTCCAACATCCACAACTACCCAAGGGGAAAATAAGTACTTCCTCTCAATAATAGATGACTTTTCAAGGAAAGCGTGGATGTCTCTACTAAAACACAAATCTGAAACCTTTGAAAAGTTTAAAAGCTGGAAAGTCCTTATTGAAAATCAAATGTCTACAAAGATCAAAATTTTGAGAACTGATAATGGACTTGAATTTTGCAACTCTGAATTTGATAAATTTTGTGAACAAAATGTAATCCTAAGACACAAAACTGTCACATATACACCCCAACAAAATGGAGTAGCCGAGAGAATGAATAGGACCTTGTTGGATAAGGTCAGGTATATGATGGTGGGATCTGGAGTTCCTAAGGTGTTGTGGGGGAAGGCTGTTGTGACAGCCACATATATAATGAATAGAACCCCTTCTAGTGCTTTGGAAGGAAAAACACCTGAAGAGAAGTGGTCTGGGAAATTGCCAGATTATTCCCACCTTAGAGTTTTTGGGTGTACAGCTTACTGTCACCAAAATTTGGGAAAATTGGAGCCAAAGGCTCAGAAATGTGTGTTCTTAGGCTATCCTGAAGGAATTAAAGGTTATATATTATGGGCTAGAGGTCATGGGGGATATAAAATCATAACAAGTAGAGATGTTACCTTCAATGAGGATGAGATACCCTGTTTAGAAAAACAAAAGTCTACAGACCCTGAAAACCCAAATGTGACCAGGTTTCAGGTGGAGTTGGGATCTCAAATTGATTCTGTTCCTAATAATATGAGAGAAAATGAACTTACACTACCTCAAATTCAAACTGAATTAGAACATTCAGGTGTGCAGGAACAGGAACAAATTGAAATGGATGATCCCAATCAACAAAGTGATCTTAGAGACTATCAATTGACTAGGAATAGGTCTAGAAGGAACATAAGAGAACCTGCAAGATATGAAGACTATCTATCCTACTCTGTAATGTCTTATAATGACCTAGCTTATAAGGAACCTAAAACCTATATTGAAGCTATGAGTTGCAACTAGTTTGGTAAGTGGGAAGCTGCTATGAGAGAAGAAATGAGCTCTTTAATGAAAAATAAAACTTAGGATCTTGTGCCCAGACCCAAAAATAAATCCATAATTGATTGTAAATGGATTTACAAAGTGAAAGAAGGCAGTTCAGATCATGAGCCTGTAAGATTTAAGGCAAGATTAGTTGCTAAATGGTTTACACAAAAACAAGGTGTGGATTACGATGAGATATTTTCACCTATTGTAAAATACATAACTATTAGAGTCCTACTTGCATTAGTTGCGCATCACAATTGGGAACTAGAACAAATGGATGTAAAAACAGCTTTCTTACATAGTAATTTATATGAGACAATTTATATGTCACAACCTGAAGGTTTTGTAAATAAATCTAAATCTAATTTTGTGTGCTTACTTAAAAAATCATTATATGGTTTAAAACAGTTTCCAAGACAATGATATAAAAGGTTTGATAATTTTGTCATGATTGTTGGTTTTGTAAGAAGCTCTTATGATCATTGCCTTTACTTTAAGAAAATTTTTGATTCTTTAATATCCATTTTTCTGTTACTTTATGTTGATGACATGCTGTTAATTGAGCCTAATTTAAAACAAATAAATGATATTAAAGAAACTTTTGGAGCTGAGTTTGAAATGAAAAATTTGGGGCATGCTAAAAGAATACTGGGAATGGATATACTTAGAAAAAGATCACAATCCACCTTGATTTTGAAACAATCAGCTTACATAGAAAAAGTCTTATCTAAGTTTTCCATGCATGAATCAAAATCAATGTCTTTGCCCTTAACTAGTCATTTCAAATTAAGTAAAGAACAATGTCCAATTGATGAATTTGATATAAGGTACATGGAAAAGGTTCCATATGCTAATGCAGTAGGGTCTACAATGTATACCATGGTCTGTGCCAGACCTGATGTGGCTTATGCAATCAGCATTTTAAGCAGGTTTATGGCTAATCCTGGTCCTGAATTGCCCAATAACGTGACTTGATCCACCCGGCCCAAAAGGTAGAAAGCGTGTTTTCTGTCGAGGCATTTTAAATGCAGTCCAAAACACGTCCTCTTCATTATTCTTGGGAGCCCTCGACACTTGGATGAAATCCTGATCAATGGTTACTTATTTGTGGGTATAAATATGCCTCTTGGTTGCCCTAATTGAGATGAATCGCCACTTTCTTTCTCTTAAGCAGCCTGTGAGACTTCGAGACTCTTCCAAACCCTTCTTCTTCTTCGTGAACTTCCAATCTCTGATTTCTGAGTGATTCTTCTCTGCTTAACTGAAATACTAAGTGTATTGAAGGGGTTGGTGTGTGATTTTACCCTTGTGGCTTCCTTTAATCTGATAGAGGAAAAGCCTTAGGGTTTAGGTGGATCGTGTGGGTCATACAGACGGATACAAACCTGATTTTCCCTCGAGTCTGAGCCCAAAACATGAAAGACCTTCATCTTTGATACTTGTGGTCTGAGTTTCGTTGATTGGCTGGAAGCAGATTTGTTTTCTGTAATTTTGTACTAACACTTTTCTTGGTTGTTTTGTATCTTTGGGTTCATTACTTAGTGTAACAACATATGTAACAAAGCATGCACCAGCAGCTAGGAATTTGGCATGTGCGTATAATGTACCGTATAACGTGAATAACTTTCAGATTTCTCAACACCAAACAGTAACAGCAAAACAAAAGCAAATAAACTTATATCATAATGAAATGTTGGATTAGATCCACCTCCCTTTAAATGATGGGAATATTAGTAGAGACATTATATTTAATGTAGTTTTCAAATTTGATACTTATTTTAGGAAATATAATAAGAGTTTGCTTTAATAGATTTTATTAAATATTTTTTTACGTAGAATAAGATCACTGAGACCCTATATAAACTTTTGCAATTTGATGGACACGACCTTAATAATGAAATAAAGATATTTTCTCTCTTAAATCCTGTTTCCGTCTGTCGAATTCTTTTCCCTTTCTATCTCCCTCCTTCCAATTTCCCATCTTCAAAGCAAGCCGTTTTCCTTTGGCCAATTAAATTTCATGTTCAAATTCAAAATTTATACACCCACATCCTTAGCCACCTTCAACCACCCGAAAAATTCCACCAACCACAACAAATGAAAAGAAGAAAATCAGTTGACAAAAGAAGGATTTGATGTCATATGTTCAGTTTCATTATTTGATCATGAAGAAAGATTGTCCTCCTTAGCTATGAAGTTGCAGTTTATTACATCGGAGTCGAGTTCTCTCTACTAAAGATAAATAACCAATATCCTGTTAGATTACTATATGATAAATTTTCATGTTTAGACTCTTACTTTGAAGAAAGTCATTAAGCTTTATTTACTAAATTTTTTTTTTTTTAAGGATTTTATTATGTTTATTTACTAAATTCTCTAGGATTTGATTAGATATTTCCTATTTAAAATAGTTTTATAAAACCCTATATAAAAGGGGCTTATGCTTTATAATGGATCCTAAATTGATAATGAAATAAAAATATTCTGTCTTTTAAATTCGGCTTCTCTGTATAATTCTTCTCCCTTCTTCTATCTTCCTCCTCTTCTTCTCTTTCCCCCTCCTTTCAAGGATTTTATTATGTTTATTTACTAAATTCTCTAGGATTTGATTAGATATTTCCTATTTAAAATAGTTTTATAAAACCCTATATAAAAAGGGGCTTATGCTTTGTAATGGATCCTAAATTGATAATGAAATAAAAATATTTTCTGTCTTTTAAATTCGGCTTCTCTGTATAATTCTTCTCCCTTCTTCTATCTTCCTCCTCTTCTTCTCTTTCCCCCTCCTTTCTCTTTTTCTCTCCCCTTCTCTATAATTGTTTGATTGCATCCTACTTCAAAAATTCAAATAGAACAACTATAATAGAGAATTAACGAATTAGCTCCCGCATTGCAACAGGTATCGTCAACCATAATTGATACATATGATTCAACCTCAAGCACAAGTAAATTTCAGGTTCTTATTAGTATAACTCTGGAAATAATTGGAAATTTCAAGTAACAGCTTCAAAATGGTTCTTTTTTCATAATGGTAGTTCACATTCATATATAGAAAAGATGTATAGTACACTCTTGAGAGGTTCGGATTACAGTTATAAAACAAAGGCGAGAATATAACCATAAGATACGAACAGCAGATCATCTCGATGCACTTTAATCATAAAGATGAAAACAACCCATTAGAATTGACACAGAAAGCCGAACATGTAAAATGTCTTTAATATGAACAGCATATCATCTTGATGCACTTTAATCATGAAGATGAAACAACTCATTAGAATTGACACAGAAAGCCTAATATTTAAAATGTCTAAAGATAAGGTACAACAAGCTTCCATGAGTTTGTGAATACTTTGCCCTCCCCCAATCCACAAGGAAAAGAAATTGTATGACAGCCTATGAACGGACGGCATGAGTATCGAAATTAAGGATAGACTAGATAAAATATAATGTCGAAAACTTTAGGTTGAATTTATTAGGCATCTTTTACTGGGAAAAAAAAAGAAAATATGCAGCACATTTGGGTGAGNNTATTTTTTTTTTTTTTTTTTTTTTTTTTTTTTTTTGGGGGGGGGGGGGGGGGGGGGGGGGGGGGGGGGGGGGAGAGGTTGGAGTCGGGGTTGGTGGGAGAATTGCTTGTGCAAAATTGATCACAACAAATGCATCAAAGCACAAAGAAGATTGTTTAAATTTAATCATTTTTACGTTAATATTCATCCACATTTTTAATAATTTCATATTAAAATTATAAATTAAGCATTTCTCTTAACCTCTTGCAGATAATGTTTTGCAATGAGTGATCAAGGTGGTACATCTGATGGTTTAGAAATACTTTTATGATTCAAATAAAGCACCACAAAAACACTAATAATTTCTTTCAATAAATGTAAACAAATTTCTATATTTAACCGTGGTAAGAAATACAGGGAAGAATCTTCCCTGAAAGATTCATCACAGTTAAAGCAAAAGAAAAGGGATACTTACATTCACAATGCATCATGTCTCGGAGAAAGATCGTGATCTGGAAGTGAAATTGCATTTCCTTCTCTGTCATTTGATTCCATCAGCATTAGAACAACTGCCCGCATTGTTGGTCGATCGAAGGGCGACATGCTTGTGCACAGCAAAGCAATTTTTAATACATTAATCATGTGATTAACAGTACTTTCATCATTCAGATTCAAACGGCTATCAAGTATCCTGGACGACAAAGAATGCTTCCTAATATAATCCCTCACCCATGTGACAAGATCACCTCCTTGTTCTAAAGGTTGTACTGGCATTTTTCCAGTTAGCAACTCCAAGAGGACCACACCGTAGCTGTAAATATCGCATTTTTCTGTAACTTTCATGGTGTATGCATATTCTGCCAGGAAAATAAAAATAGAAATTAATAAGATTCCTAATAACATTTAAGTCTAATTACTTTCTAAAATAACAAAAATGTTGAACTGGGACACATGCAAATTAGGGGAAAAAAATTAGCTAATAACATTTTTCAATATAAGGAGTATTCAGTTTTGGAGCATCTCTAATCTATGAAGCGTAAAATATATTCTTTACAGTTTTTTTCTCATTGATGGTAAATAGAATGGTATTATTAGCCAAGCACCGTAGAGATAGATAAAGCTTCCTTCTCAGAATGGAAGGTGGAATATTTCATAATATAAGAAGTTCAAGCACACAGTCTATCTATTTTTATCCATTCTATCCTATCAAAGTCCATTTAAAAATTGCACCAACAAATGCAGATATGTCGCACTGCCTTCATAGATCATGACATGGTATTGTCCAGCAAGAAAACTTGTCAGATATGTTCATAGGTGCTACGAAGGATTCATTAACCTAGTGAAATATTGAGATGACATGCTGAGAGAGAAGGGCGATGAGAGCTCCATGACTCCTCCAACATTAGATCTCTTCTAAGAAAGCTCTTTTGAAGCGTACTGTTCCACAATATAGCCAACTACACTTTCAAGAAAGGGCAACTTTGATGATGAAATGGTTCAAGTCGCTGATAATTCCAGTCTCAGGGTAAGCACGACATGAATGGGCTGTGCTAAATTAAGATGTGGATGAGCAAAAATGCTACTCAAGATGGTCCATGCCAATACTCATAAATATTAAACTGACTCTGTCACGACTCCTCATAAGAATTCTGGTTCCTTCATAGATTCAACGCTTGTAAATTTGATTTATGTAGAATTCCATTTCATTGCCATTATTCATGGTAAAATTCACACTCTCAACTAATCTCCCAATGAGAAGATGACTCAGAGGAGAAAAAGAGATCCAAATAAGACATTGTGTGACCCTTTTTAAGGGTCCACATGCACCAAGGACCTGCCGAGATTCTTTGGGGTTGCAGGAACAAAAGACCAAGTAAGGCCGTTTGGGGTCCACAGGCAAACTCAAGATCTAGCCCCCGTTTGGCCTCCATTAATTTTCATTCCATTTTTCTCTCCCCTATTTTTAACCAAACAATCTTTCATAAAATAATATTACATGTAAATCGAAAACTTTTCCTTCCTTTTCAACCACTCATTTTTCAAAAAAATATTATTCCACCCATTTTCATTTCTACAAAATGGGGGCCAAACGGGGGCCTAGTAAGATCTTTGAGGATCTTAGGCAAAGTAAATATACGACCTAACGAGATCTCAAACAATCGCAGACAAACCATAACACCTAATGAGGCACTGAGTATCCTAGGCAATTATAAGACCTCCAAAGATCTCCAAGGAACCAAGCAAGCTGTAACACCTAGTGACCATCCGGATGTTCACAGGCATGAAAGACCCATACTTGAGGATCCCAGGCAAATGATAAGACCTACCGAGATCCCAGAGGATCCCATTCAAACTATAAGATACAAAGAGATCTAAGAAACTATTAAGCCCTAAAGAGATCTAAGATCTCCAAGAGTCCCACACAAACAGAAAGACTTAGTGAGATCACTATTAGAATTAGACTGATATTGGCATTAAACATATTTTGACAAAGGTAAAGAATAAATATAGATTTTATTCTGTTACTAATAAAGATCATCTTACTGTAGAGCATACATACAGTGTTGTAGTTTTACTAAGACAAACTGTGATATCTCGAGATTTGATTTGTTTAATCTTATCCAAGACAGATTGAAATTTTCAGATCCCATATCTCATCCTAATGCACTAGGATCAACTACATCGTCAAGTGAAAATGGACATAGCAAGATATAAGTCTGTTCATAGATTTACAAGAATTTAGATTCCAATCTATCCAATTTATTCTATGATTTTCCGACTTGTTAAGCGATTTGAAGACTGTCATAACACAAGCACACTTGGAGAACAAGTTGACCAACAAAATTTTATTCAAAGGCAAGCACAAGTTTTGTCACAAAAAATCACTTGTAATTCGATTAAGTTGCAACTTCTTAAATTGTTTTACATACCACAAGAATGATAACGTAATAAACCCAAAAAAGATATCATCAAAAATTAACTAGACCAAGTAAGAAAAACTAAATCAAGTCCTAGTTCTATAGATGTGGGTTCTTATTGAGGTATAGCATATGGCTGCTCAACAAAGATCAGAACATCAACAATCAGAGAAGAAGTTCCAAAACTAATCCAGATATTATAACATGATACAAAGAGAACTTCACAACTTTCTAAGATATAAGATGATAAATCTTAAAAGTGAAGTTAGGAGTACATTACAAACTTGAAAAATACTTACTAGTCAACCTGATAAAGGGAAACTTAAATAATTACCAAGTAAAAAGCCTTTAGTATTTTTCCCGTTCAACTTTGAGGGTGGGGAGCATTAAATGGTATAAAGATAACATTACCAAATAAAGACCACTTTATGCACTACTAAGGGACAAAATACACATTTACTGGATGAAGACCACTTTATGCGCTACTAAGGGACAAAATACACTTCGTATAGACATAGCATTTCGATTTTTTGAGAATCAATAAGAAATAAACTATTATTATAAACATGGATATAAAAGTGATTGTTATCATGCAGATGGACAAGAGTTAACTCACCAGGGGCTATGTAACCATATGATCCAGCAACAGCAGACATAGACTTCGACTGAGGCATGTCAATCACTTTCGCCAAACCAAAATCCCCAACATGAGCTTCAAACTTCTCATCAAGAAGAATATTATTGGGCTTTATGTCGCGATGGACAATCTTTGGTCTGCAGTCATGATGTAAATAAGCTAGGCCTTCAGCAGCTCCAAGAGCAATTGAGAACCGTGTTGGCCAGTCTAGGTCACAAGATTCCCCATAAAGAAATTCACCCAAGCTACCCCTTGCCATGTACTCATAAATAAGGAGATTGGAACCTTGGTGATAGCAAAACCCATATAACTTGACAATGTTGCGATGCCTAATGTTTCCAAGAGTTAAAATCTCAGCTCGAAAGCTCTTCTCTATGTTATTACCCTCTCTATTAGATGCCAGCTTCTTAACTGCGATTATTTGAGTGGATCGCAAAACTGCTTTATAGACTGTCCCAACTCCTCCCCTTCCAATAACATAATTATCATGAAAATTGTTTGTGGCCTCAACAAGGTCCTGAAAAGTGAAACCCTCTTTTGGATGAAAATAAATATCAGAATCTGGGGATGAAATGTCCACATCTTCTTGTAATGACGCAGCCATCTCGACTGGATGACGCTTCATAAGATACAATATAACTACAATTAGAATAAGAGACACTCCACCAATGACAGCTGCAACCATTGTAATGACCTTTCCTTGACGAGCATCTGAACTTCTCACAGGAGGAATTGTGTCGAAAGGTGTCGACCCACTACAATTACCGAGCGGCCCACCACAAAGCCCTTTGTTTCCGATGAAGCTACTGATACTCATGTTCTGAAACAACTGTACAGAAGGCAATGGGCCAGTTAAGTCATTGTATGAGAAGTTGCAGCCCAGTAAACTAGACAGGTTTACAAATGTGCTAGGAATTTCACCGCTCAAATGATTGTTGTTGAGCAAGAGATATTCTAATAACATAAGGTTTCCAAGCTCCAGCGGTATTCTCCCAGTTAAGTTATTACAACTAAGATTCATTGCAATTTGCAGGCCTGAAAGATCACCCAACTCCTTTGGTATCTCGCCGGTTAATAAATTTCCACCCATCTGCAACTCTGTCAAATGAGAGAGCTTGCCCAAAGACTCTGGAATATTTCCAGAAAGCATATTTTCTGAAACAATAAGACGTTCAAGCAGTGAAAGTGTCCCTAGCTCAATTGGTATAGCATCAATGAAGCTGTTCCGGCTAAGATCAAGCCTTTGCAGAGCCTTGCAGTGAAAAATTTCTGGTGGGATTTGCCCAGTGAACAAGTTCGACGAAACATTAAAAGACACAAGCTGGGATAGATTTCCTATCTCCCTCGGCAACTCAGATGTGAATTGATTTCCTGAGAGATCGAGCCTTTGTAACTTTTGGCACGTCCCAATCTCTTGAGGTATTGGACCATCGAACATGTTCAGACCCAATTCAATAGCAGCGAGATTCGGTAATTTGCATAAATCGGAAGGGAAGCTTCCAGTTAGTCTGTTACCACTGAGACGAAGCTGTTGCAAAGATATGCAATTAATTATGCCACCTGGGATGTTTCCATACAGTTTATTAGACTCAAGATTCAGCAACATCAAGTTAGAATGCCTACAAAGGTGAGGAGGAATTCTTCCAGTGAGGTCATTTTCGGAAAAATCAACCACCCAAAGTCGACTGTAAAGCCCAAAACTCTGAGGTATGATACCACTCAAAGAATTAGAAAAAAGTAGTAAATGATATAATTCAGTAAGATACTGAAAGCCAAATGGAATTGGGCCTTTCAAGTGATTAATCGACAAGTCTAGCTTCGTTAAGTTCTTCAAGCTACTAAGCTCATTTGGGATAACTCCAGAAAGCTCATTCTGGAACAAGTACAGTAAATGTAGACCCTTTATCTGACTTAACTCCGTTGGAATTTCTCCTGTCAAATAGTTCTCCGAGAAATCGATTTCAACTGCCTGAGTAAGGTTCCCAATCTCCCTGGGAATTGTTCCGTTCAATCCATTCCGGTATAGGTATAACCTTTGCATAGACATGATGTTCCCAAGTTCTGCAGGAATATCTCCGACAAGATTGTTCTGGTATAAAGCAAGCATCTCAAGATTTGTACAATTTCCAAGTTCCTTTGGTATAAATCCAGAAAACTGGTTCTCCCATAGAATCACTTCTCTTAAGCTTTTGAGCATACCGAGTTCTTTAGGTAGATTACCTTCTATTCTATTTTGAGCAAGACCAAGAGTTTCCAGGCTTTGACAATAACCAATCCCTGTTGGTAAGCTTCCAGAGATTTCATTCTGACCAGCTCGAAATGTTCTCAAGTTTCTTAAGTTGCCAAGAGACTGAGGCAATGGACCCGTAAGATTGTTTGTGTACGCCACGAAATTAACAAGGGAAGAAAGTTTCCCAAATTCCTCAGGAATTGAGCCAGAGATCTCATTGTTGCACAAATTGAAATCTTCCAGACAAGAAAGATTACCCAATTCAGCTGGAATTTGGCCATTAAAATAGTTATCATTCAAGAAAAGAGTTTCTAGTTTCGAACAATTTCCAATTTCCTTGGGAATATTTCCTGTGAACTTGTTATGAGAAATATTGAGATAAGTTAGAAAGACCAAACTGCCAATACTAGGGCTCAAAGTCCCTGAAAGATTCCGCAAACTCAAGTCCAGAGACCATACCACGGGAGCATAATCCGAGGTGCAATTCACGCCTACCCATTCGCAGGGTGTCGTAGCATTTGGATTCCAGTCCCCAAGAGAGTTAAATTCATCGACAATGTTTCTCTTCAACTCAAGGAGGTAGATTCCGTCCGCAGTCAACCCGTTTGAATGACAAGCCAGCATCAAAGCTATTAAAATTCCTACTAAACCCAAAAAAGGACATTTCTTCAATCCAACCTCCACAGACATCATAAGAACCTTAACTCTGTCAAAACTATGATTGAGACTTTAACTCACTGGATATACAACACCAAAAGTTGTTATTCCCAATTCTCTTAAAAGGGTTTTCGAATTCAAAATTGGGCCTATAAGCTGTCAATTTCAGAAAGGATCTCAGAGAAATCGAATTATGAAAGCAACTCGGCAGAAAACATTCGAGGAATAATAACCATGATATGGGTCCAATAAATTTGATAAAAATCCAATTCAAAAGAGTGATGGATTAATCCTCCATTTCACAGCAGCCCACAATTCAGAAATCCAGTCCAAAAATTTCAAGAAAAGTATACTGCTGAACAAAATGAAGAATTAGCTAAATATAGGAGACTGATGCAGAAATCAGGAATATCAAAAATAAGAACATCAAGAATCAAAACCTGAACAATACCTTTAAGTCCACCAAAAGTCGAAGACTTTCTGAACAGAGAGGTTCATCAGTATTCAAGTGATCCCTTGGGATGATAAGAGAGAAAATGTCATGGAATCCTAAAAAATGGCAGAATATTCAAATCAACATATAGGATTTGGGCATGAAAACTAGAAAAGACTCAATTGTTATTAAAATACAAGCAGGCCCAGAAAACTAAGTGTGTTGAATCAAATCGTTTTCTTATATTTTTGGAAATTATATAGTTTCGAAAGCGAAAGGACAGAACAAAACAACTGAAAATCCTGGAATTTCCATTAGAGCAAAAGGGCCTTCTTCGAATGGACAATAACAGGAAAAATCTCTCGACCAACTTGAATGGACGTTTCAGAACAGAATCCCTTTACTGAAACTCAAATGGCCGACAAATAATGCTTCCACCATAAATCTTTCTCAATTGTTCATCTGTTTCTTGAATATATACATATTCATCATGAATTGATAAGAAATAATCAAAAAATTGTTTTCCGCTAAATCTTAAACTCTTTTCCTCTATGTAAAAAGTGGAGCCTTTTTTTAGTGCCTCAGCCTGTGTAAAGGTGAACTTTTTAGGCGAGAATGAAAAGTGTTTTTTCTTTTCTTTTTTTTATTCTTTTTTAATGGTTGGCTGCCGAATTTGAATAATGCTAAGTCTACAATTGACATCTTTGTTCATTTGGCTCCCATTTTTTCGAATGAAAATAAGTGGAATAGTATTTTTTTTTTAAAATAAGAAATTAGAAAATTAAATAAAAATTTTTTATTTACATGTAACATTATTTTATAAAAAATTTTGTAATTGAAAATAAGAAAGAGAAAAATAAAATTTATTTTAATGAGGGCCGAACAAGAGCTAAATTTCATTCGAAATCAAAAAGTGTTACGCAGGAAAGTGAATTTTTTTTTTAAATAATCCAATCATGTGTCGCAACATAACACAATATCAAATATAGGCCCCGTTTGAACCACATTATTATAAAAATAAGAATGAAAAATATAGTTATTATGGATCCCATACAATAGATAAATTTTCAAATATGATGACTTGATGTGATGGATAATGATTTTATTTTTCATTTTAATGAGTAAATAATAAAAAACAAATAAAAATATAATGTCAAAAAGAATGTACATGTGTCGAATTTTGCACACCAGGGCAAATGAAGTCAGATATGATGAATGCTAATCTGTCCCTTTCTCCATTTTTTATTTTATTTTCATATATATATATATATATATATAAAGTGGGTTGGTCGACTTTTGAGGGGGTTTAGCACTGTCTATTCACGAAGGTATCGAGATGATATTTTACACGTAAAGTAGGATGGTACATGTATATGAGAATAATGAAAAATGAGCTAATTCTTCCTATTTATTGTCTTTAACAATCCTATCACAATTTTTTTCCCTCCAAATCCATACTTTAGGTTGTACAAACTGAACATTGCTACATGTACATTATATTATACACTTTGAGTTACACTTTACCATTTGACATTATCCTATTATATAGTTTATAATTCAAACAATTTTTTATTCAATTGACATTTAACAACAATGTAAATGTCAATCAAAGTGTCAACAATCAGTGTACAAATAGCAAAATCCGTACAAACTAGAGTACTAATGTATAGTGCTGATGACATACCTATGCATATTATGTTCAGTTGATCACTCAATAGCGTTATTGAAAATAAAATATATGCGGTGGCTAATCTGGGAGGACTAGGCTGTGCTACAATTTTGTGTAAAAAAATTTCTTTTTTTCTTCTTTGTCTATCTTAAAACCATTCCTAGATCCACTCCCTGAATAAACGTGTTTGATAAATTGAAAGAAGCTACAATCATGTTTATTATACTATTTATGACATGACTATTGAAAAGTCAAAAGTTGCTTGTTAGACTAAAAAGTTGCTTTCGAATGTAATTGAATAATTTTCTTAAATTTCTTTATCTCGTTAAAAGAGTTTTTAGGAAAAAATTGATCTAAGGTAATTTCCCTCAAAATCTCTTTTCTACAAGAAGAAGAAACAAAAGCAAAAGTTTCATTAAATAGACCTTAATATGGTATAATATTGTGTACGATATATGTATTCGAGCTTTCTTATCAACTTCTCAACCTATAAATGGGCATAAGGAAAATATAAAATCTTAATAAGATGCCCTACACAAAGATTCTCATACGAAATGAGTGCATTTGACATAAAAAGATCCATTTTATAATTATAATGGCTGTCCCATGAACAGCATTGGACATAACTAAAAAGCCATCATAATGTTCCGAGTTGGTTTAGATATTAAATAATTAATACACAATTTTATGTGAAATATATAGCATAAAATTATCACAATTCTAAAAAGTAAAAAGGTAAAGTAGAAAGCACCTCTTGGAATTTCTTTTTATTTTTATTTATTTAACTCATTACTATATCTATAATTTTAAAACAATTTAATTAAAAAAGGAAAAAGAAAAATCAGATATCCACTAAAATTGATCAAGAAAAATGAAATTATGGGTAAATAAAGACCAAAATTGTTTCGTGCGGGTTAGTCGCTAATAATTAAAAAAGGATCAGACGATTGTGTAAGGGACAAACCTCCTGAAACAAAGTCCCAAAAAGGGACATTTTTATTGGCGATGACTTTACAATTGGAAAATAAAAACAGAATGCCTCCAAGGGGCGCAAGCACACGAGTTACTGTAAAAGAAGTGTTTAAATCTAAACTAAGAAATTGAAAGTTACATATTCTCTGTTTGAGAATATTTGATTCGAGGTCCTCTGCTCTATTTCTTTTCTTCCTTTTATATTCCCTGAATGATCTTTTCGTGATCAACCACTTAAAAACTGCTTGATCGCTCTATAACTACCCACTTTCCTTGTAGTGGCCAACTTGTCATGAAACTGCCTTCTCTAACTGCTGTCATAACTTTTGTCGTTCAACCGTTTTCAATTAAATTCCTTGAATCGTGGAACGTGATAGGACTACCCAATAACTGCTTTATTAACTGCACTTTTTGGGTAACCATAACATCTTATGTTTGCTAAGATGCTGGGTGACTCGAATGTTTGGACGAGAGCAGGGTCACAGCTCTGGGCGACTGCATGGCAATTCATTCGCTCAAATCTTGGGCGACTTGCAACCTTGGGCGATGGTATTACCACATTCATGGGCGTCCCTATTTGGGCCTTTATCTTACATTGCCTGATTGGGTCGTTCTTTTGGGCTATTTGATTTTGGGGGTCTTCCAATTGGGCTTCATTCCTTAGGCTATTCGAGTTAGGCTGAACTTTTTGTGTGTCAACAATTACCCCCTAATATGGCAGAATTAATACCAATTATTAATTTTTTGCCTTATTCACTTTGTGTTTCCCAGCAACATTTGAAATTCCCAAAAATTTCAATCATTGTTTTCTTCCATAGCCTGAAAAGGTGCGACGTTTGCAAACCTTTATAACCCCCAAATAAGCTATTTCATTGCACCACTAAATCACGCCTCATTTTTTTGCGCCTCTCTCGCAATGTTACTGTTCATCTCCTTGCTTCTCTGCTACGTAACTCTGAAAAACTCTATTTCGTCCTTAATAGCTGCTTCACAATCCCAGTCTGGTGACTCCTTCAGTTTCGAAGACTTTCAGAAACTCCTTACTTGACCATATATAACTTCGAACTTCCTTGCACCGGCCAATGTCAAACTCAATGAGTTCTATCTAGGTCCTTTATTCAACAATGCCGAGGCCATCGAACAAGCGGCAGTTGGTCAGCTATTCCTTTGTACTCAGGGCCCTCCATTTCTAAATTCTTTGCCGCTGGAGCCACTTCGCAAAAGAGGTATTTGCACTTAGCCTAAATCTGATGTCATTTTTTGTAGATGGCATGCTCGCTTTGTGGACCATGGTCCTACTAAGGCAATTTTTGATAATGCTAGGATTTCTGATTTGTTAGAAATCTCTCTTCAACCCCCTATTTTTGACACGGTACTTTTTCCAATCGCTTTAAATTTTTGGTCTTCTGAGTATAATACTTTTGTTTTTCCTCTTGGTCTCATGTCCATTACCTTAAGGGATGTTGGCCTTTGGGCGATACCATTTTTCCTGGTATTTTGATTTCTGGTGTCGCCCCAAAATTTGGTAAAGGCCTCACCGAGTCTTATTCAAGCATGCAAACCCTTTATAACCACTCGAGCGTTGAGGCTTCCCATACTGAACGAGTGGTCTATCTCCTGATTTGGCTTTGTAAATACATTTTGTGTGTGCCAAGCATAAAGCCCTCCTTGAGCTATTTACACATAGCGCACGAATTAGCGCGTGGTAGGCCTATGAATTTATGTTCTTTTTTTTAGCTGCCCTCTATAGAGGCATGGCTTCTCTTCAATCCCAATTGAAGAATAGTGCATCTCCCACTGGCAGTGGGCCTCTTTGCTTCGCTCAAATGTGGTTGAGAGTCTATTTTCCATCGCTCGGTGCTCCATCTTTTTCCAGTCCTTCTGCTAGTTGCTATGGACTAGCCATTGAGCCACTGACTCCTGTAAATATGTCCAGAAGGGACATTTTTTCATTCTTTTATACTTTGGATTCAATCCCTTCCTTCTTTCCTTTTCCTCCCTTTTTGACTCCAGATTATGTGCAACCCCCATCCACTCTGGATAGTGCGAACACTTCCTTGTTTGTTTGGATTCAGTTTTTGACCGGGAGGGAGTTGTTCCATGATATTTTGACTGGGACCAATGCCAGGGCTGGGGTAGAGATATATGCTCCCCAATTTTTTGCTCGCCAACTTGGTTTTGGCCAAACTTGGCCCGTTCCCCCTTGCTATTCAAGGAATTTGATAGACCGTTTCCACACCATTAATAAGGCAGAGGCAGAGGCTATAAATGCTCGCAATCTTCTTTTGACGAGCAACTTTTCATTAGCCCCCTTCAATCATAGCCGTGCCATCCATCCCTTTTTTGAACGACTCTGGCCGTCAGTGAAACGCAAATTGTTTGTGACTGATGCCAATAGTGCTTTCCACGCACTAGACCAGCCAAACATTTCTTCCACCTCTCCTGTTTTGGTCACTCCTGTGTCCATTAGGAGTCCCTCTTCTTCTGTTCGTGCTAAACAATATGCCCGTCCATCGACTTCTCTTCCTACCAAGCCCACTGCAGCTAAAAGTGCCCCAAGCCGCAAATAGCCAACCTCAGCGTCTCCCATTTTGGAGGATGATGCTGATGATGATGATGATGATACCCCTATCATCGTCAGGAGGAAGGTAATTAAATCGGTTTACTCATAAGCATACCTTTCCATACTTGAGACTTTTCCATGTGCTGATAGTTTATTTGGACCTCTCAGAAAAGTTCAACATCTCCCTTGAAGGCTTTGGTGTTGGCAGCTCCTGCTCCATCATCCTCTGCTGGGGCTGCTTCGTCCAAACCAGCTAATGAAGGGACTACGCTTAAAGAGAAATCTTTAGTCCCAGAATCTTCATCACAACCAATGGACGAGCTACCTTCTTCCCAGGGCGTTGACCCCCCAAATGTCGAAGCAGAAGGTAATTCGTTTTTTGATGCTTTACCTTTGCTTGTGCTATTGGTGTTGACT